AGAGCAACTACACAAGCACAATGTATATGAAAGTAATTACAAGCTTGTGTAACGAGGATGCAAACCAACGGGAAGAACAAGGTTGACACGATGATTTTTCTCCCGAGGTTCACGTGTTTGCCAACACGCTAGTCCTCGTTGTGTCGACCGCTCACTTGGTGGTTCGGCGGCTAATTGGCATCACCCGCCAAGCCCGCACGTCGGGCACCGCAAGAACCTACCCCGGAAGTGAGGGTAGCTCAATGACACGCTTTACTAAAGTTGCTCTTCGTAGCTCCCACGGGGCGAGCACAATGCCCCTTACAAAGCACTTCTTCGGAGCACCGCACAAGCTTCTTGCGAGCTTCGGCGGAGACCACCACCAAGCCATCTAGGAGGTGACAACCTCCAAGATTAACAAGCACCACCGGCTTGCAACTCGATCACCTAGTGCCACTCGATGCAACCTCACGATGCAATTGCACTAGAATCGCTCACTCACACAATCGGATGATCACTATCAAGTATGTGTGAGATAAAGGGCTCCCAAGCACTACCACACAAGCCACCAAGGCTCTAGTGTGCTCAGCTACCGGCCCAAGGCCGACCATGGCTTCTATTTATAACCCCACAAACAAATAGAGCCATTACCCCTTCACTAGGCAAAAGTCAGGACGACCGGACGCTCTGGTCCGATCGACCAGACGTTGGACCTCAGCGTTCGGTCACGCGATACTCGCCACATGTCCCCTCCTTCAAATGTTGTTCTTCCAATCTCAACGGTCATCTGACGACCGGATGCAGCAGCTTCAACTGACCGGACGCTAAGCCTCCAGCATCCGGTCATTTCCAGTAAGGTTCCAGAAACGACATTTCACGACCGGACGCGTCCGGTCGATCACGATCAGACGCATCACCAGCGTCCGGTCACTCTCCAGCTTCTGCTCTGCCTGTGTCACCATACGTCAGCTCTGACCGAGCGCAGGATCCTAGCGTCCGGTCACTACGTGACCAGCGTCCGGTCCACTCTGTGAGACCCTGTCTTTTCTGTATAGGGCGCCGGTGGAGTTTCTCCTTTCGCCTCCATTTCTTCACCGAGTTGATCCACATCAACTCCAACTTCATCTTCTTTGTAAATGTGCCAACCCCACCAAGTGTACACCACCATGTGTATGTGTGTTAGCATTTTCACAATCATTTTCCAAAAGATTAGCCACTCAACTTGCCACGCCACTCGATCCTAGCGACGATGTAAAGTTAGATCACTCGAGTGGCACTAGATGACCGATATGCAAACAACTTTACCCCTCTTGATAGTACGGCCATCTATCCTAAACCCGGTCATAAACTTCTCTACACACCTATGACCGGTGAAATGAAATGCCCTAGGTTATACCTTTGCCTTGCGCATTCCATTCCATCTTCTCCAACGTCGATGCAACACATGCACCAACACGATCAACAATGATATGATCCACTTCATATCATCACGTGATCATATTGGTTCATCGATCTTGACTTCACTTGCTCTTCACCGTTGCCATCGTCCATCGGCGCCAAGTCTTGCTCAAGCTTCACCGCCACGCGGTCCATCACTCCAAAGCCGCCGACTTGCCCTTCACACTTACAACCGGTCCATCAAGCCAAGTCTTGTCTTGATCTTCTTCACCTTGATCACATGACTCAATGTCATGTGTCATGTTCAATGAGCTCCTTCATCATCACATGTGTGAGTTTTGCAACATTTCTAAGCCATTTTCACCTTCATGGCATATGTTGCTCACACACATGTACCTGTGGACTAATTACCTGTTTATCTCACATAAACACAATTAGTCCACCTAGGTTGTCACTCAATTACCAAAACCACACAAGGATCTTTCAACAACGCAACCTCCCACGTGCACCTAACATTCTACAGTGACATCAACAGTGTTGTGAGCGTCTACCATTATCCAATCCTCATCGGCGTGGGCAACAAGGCTTAAAAGCATCCATACCCTCTCCCTCTCACCTGTAAAGCCATCCCCTTCATCTATAAAAGGGGATGCACTCCCTCCAACAGGAGGACCGATTCATTCAAGCTTAGTTCCTTTAGATTCATTAGTCCAATAGCTCACAACCACAGAACTGTCAGGTTCGAACCTCAAGCACACGCTTGAACACTTAGCTCATAGCGAAGTTCCCGTCGCTCTCGGCCCTTCCGATCGGAGCCGACCGGGCCTTTGGTACCCCCATCTTTCTCCTTCTCGTTTGTAACCCCACTGTAGACTTCGAGCACCTGTACTAAGGAATAAAGTCACCGACCAACCCAAACTGGACGTAGGGCACGTTGCCTAAACCAGTATAAATCCTGTGTCATTGAGTGCTAGGCCACATCCGATCACAACATATAGCAAAACTACAAATATTCACTAGTTGATCACTTTCTGTACCGACAAGTTGGTTCTACCTTAAAGAACAAGGAGCTCCTACCTGTCTTCTTTGGCCACATCCCTGAGAGGATTATTGGGAGTGGGGGGCAGATAAGGAGGATACAATAAGGTGGTCATTGTCCTTGAGGAGGTCCATAAGCTATAGGCCAAGAGCATCACGGGGGTTGGCCTCGTCATGACGACATTCTACTCCCTTCGGATCCTGCCATTTAAAGATGGCCAAAACTAGGACACCAACACTCCAACTAATCTCTGTTCGATGATTAAGTATGGTACAAAACAGGTGTCAGTAAAAAGTTACAAAAATCTGTTGTGACATCATAACATTTATAGTCCGTAATCATTTGGATGGCCATATACAAAAATGCCACAACTTGTCTGCGCACATTGGGGGCATTAGCTTACTGGTGGCAGACTGAATAGCATCAGTATTCAACGGAGACAAATCATTCCCTCTTTTCTAGTTTCTGTACCTTGACATAAGGCAAAAATCCAAGAAGGTGTGTGATCCGCGGCTCCCACCCACGTTGTTGAGCCTGATAGAACATTAGGAATGTGTTTGCATAGTATGAGTTGAGGCCCATAAGCACATGCCACCATGCATACCCCTATAGGTTGACACACCAATGTGAAAGCTTCTTACAGAAGATGCGATCAACTAGCCAGCAGAGAGCCCTAAGGGTTAACGTAAGAACCCACAGCTTTGCAAGCCTCTTTGCAGTCATGGCTTTTGTCTATATGTAGTACTTGACCAGATCTATACGTATACCTATAATATATAATAATAACTAGCAAACGTGTGTTGCAATGAAAATCAATATTTCTATGGCTAAAAAACTTGGACGACTTTCGTCCACGTAGCTTTCACCGCGCGCTCCTGCGATTCTTACCGGCGCCGACAGGTGGGCCACGCTCGGTCGAACCGCCTAGGCAAACTCCACCGCTACCTCTCCGATACCTACCACACCTTGCACAGTCGCACCCAATCAGCTATGAGCTCGCCGCCCACCTCCCCCAGTCCCGATGCCCCTCGAGGCTTTTACATGTGTGCCATTAAAAAAGTTTGTAATTAAACATAGGCCATTAAAAAAGTTGACCGCACACATATGCCACCGTTCTGAACTTATTTGCTCTCCAAGCCATTCCGTCCGTTTTTCTACTTAACGGTGTCAAACCGACAGGTGAAATGACCATTTTACCCTACGGTGGGGTCCGTTTGTCAGCCATCCAAACTCTCTTTTTCTCTCTCTTTCTCTTGCGCCTCCGTTCCCCGCTCCCCGTGCTCCTGCTCATCGTCGCAACGTAGGCGGTGTGCTGCTGCTTCCCCTTCGCGGTGGTGGAGCTCGTTGTGCTTGCGGCTGTAGTGGCGTGCCCAGGCCACATTTGTCAGCCGTCCTCGGCGCTTCAGTGCAGGTAGTGCTGGCCTGCGCCTCTCCAGCCCATGGCCAGAAGAAGGAGATGTTGGGGATGGACAGGGTGAGAAAAGGGGAGCTGCAGCAGCCGAGGGTGGAGCTCCCCCACACACACCGACACGAGCCTCGACGGCGACGGCGAGGGCCCCAATGTGCAGGGAGGCGGCCTCGTCCCCAATGGCGGCGGCGAGAGCGAGCGGTGGCATAGCAGAAGCAGCTCGGCCGATCGGACGCTGACGTGGGTGCGGGGAGCTTCCCCAGGCCATTGCTGCGCGCGTCTTGGCGAAGCTCCGCCCGGCCAACCACAGCAGCCAAAGCGCGGTATGGGAGATCCACCTCATGCAGCTGGCAGCAGCATGGGCGAAGCTCACTCTGACATTGGCGGGCGTCGGGCGAGCTCCGCCCGACCCACCATCATGGTCTGGGGAGCTCATCCATGGCCGTCATGCGTGGTGGCTGGTGGAAACTCCTCCAACCAACATGGCATGGCGCGGGCGAAGCTCACGGGCGCGCCAAGAGAAGAGAGATGAGGTCGAGTTTGAGAGAGAAAGGATAGAAATGAGAGGGGTATTATGGACTTTTTGACTGACCTGGCCCACTTGTCAGGACTCCCAAACGGGGAAAAATGAACGGAACACGTATGGAATGGCTCAGACAGCAAAGAAGTTCAGAACGATAGCATATATATATATATATATATAATTAACTTTTTTAATAGCACGTGTAAAAGCCTCATGCCCCTCCTCTCCACCATCTTCGTCGACTTACTCTCGACCCAGTGCGCACCCCCTCTCTTCAAAATTATTAGGACGCTCCCTAGTGCCCTCTCCGTCGTCTACCGAGTCCGCCTCGCCCTCGCCTACTCGGTCGGTCTTCGCCGCCACCACCGAGTCCACCCGCCCGCAGAAACTTGGCACGGAACGACCGCCGCTCCGACCCGCCCTCGCCTCCTCGGGCCCTCGCCGCCGCCGCCGAATCGGCCCCGTCTCCATCCCACCGGCAGGATGAATCCGACATAGAGGAACCGCGGCCCCGCTTCGCTCGACTGTATAACTCCTGCGAGGAACGGACTCCGCAAAGTCGCTGCTTCCGTCTCTCACGGATCCGTCGCAGCGCACGTGTGACTCCGAGTGGCGCGCGCCTTCCTGCAGATCGGTCAACGCGTCTCCAAGCGCTACGGCTCCATCCCCGAGCTCGAGGCCGAGAGCGCCGTTGCAGCCGGCGGCCCGAGGGCTTCAGAGATCTCAAGATCACGCATCGCCTCCGGGCGCTGCTCCTCTGGCCGCGTCGCCTCCACCCGCTCGTACATCCCGGCAGCTGTAGCTCCTCCCGACGCCTCCTGGGTGCTCCCCGTCACCAACGAGGACTCGGTGAGTCTTGGTGGCTTCCTCCCTGGGAAGGAGCAGCTTGTTGCCGTATTCTCAGATCCCTTTTTTTGCAATTTTTGAAATCTATAGAACTCGATCTATGTTAAAAAAATCACCCATTAGTTGCTCAACCATATTACTATGCGTCATCAAGTGAATGATTTTTTGGAATCTATAGAACGATACTGATGAGCATATATCCTGACAATTTTGTGTATGGAAGCAGGCAAAGTATGTTGGTCAGTACAGAGTTATTCAACCTGTTCGCTTGTTGGTTTCAGCCAGGGCTTATCAGCCAGCCAACAGTGTTTTCCTCTCACAACAAACCAGCACCAGCCAGGCTTATCAGCTCAGAAACCAACCAGCAAACAGACGGATTGATTATGATTCGTTAGCGGTTTATTATCTCTGTTCACTTCCTTGCTCTGTTTTGCTATTTGTTAGTTCTACTGAACTTTGCTCGACTGGGGTTCCTGCAACAGCAATACTGAATTTATCTATTTCTTTGGCATAGCAGAGTAAGGGTAGAAACTAAATATTTGTCTTACTATTAAGCTTAAGATTTGGATAGCAATTGTTGTAGATGCATATATGAACTTCATACTAGAATCCCCTAGCTTGTGTTTCATGTTCTGATGGAGCAAAGAGTCATTTTAAAAAAAAGCAGTGGTAGCAAGTCAGTGCCGAACTGCATTTCGAGCTTTCCATTTTTTTAGTAATTGTGATTTCCTTTTATTATTGTGAAGTTAGCCAAACCAGTAAGCGAGTCCTGTTAATGGCTGTGTGATGGACCAATACAAGTTGGTAACAAACCTTATAATCTACTCAGCACACCAGCAAGGACTCAACAACTGATTACTAAACCAATTCACCTTTTCCCGCTCAGTTTGTGATTGATTTCCCAGTGGCACACACACGTAGAATAACTTTATCAATTTTTTGAATGCACGTTCCATTGAAAAGGTTACCTTTGTTTCCTTGCTTAAACACTTGATTTTGAATATCTCATGGCTGTCAATTTTGCTGGGCACTATATTCAGCTTATATGCTTTCTCAAAAAGTAAAAACAAAAGCAGTTCACCCTTATATGTCTCAGCAATCCTCTTCTGTATATTGCTGTTTTTATTGTTTTAACAGAAATTCATCTCTTTAAACATTGATCCAATCGCTCAGTCTCAGTGAGTCGTTGATTGCCGAGGCAGACAAACCTATAATCCATGTCGCCCTCATAGCAACTCCCTCCACCGATCGAGCCCCTCACCATTGCAGCAAGCAACCAGGTAAACAGGCACTTTGTCTAGCCTTTTAGGGTTCTTACCATTGCAGCAAGCAACCAGGTAAACACTAAGCAGGCATTTATGTCTAAGATGAAAGTAGATATACTTTCTAAAATAGAGGGCGTGATAGTTGCCTATATCATTACTGGAACAAAGATGTTATAGGGAGATCACCTGAAATCTAAGAACAGCAAAATCAATAAAGCCAGTCTATGTAGTCTTCATTCATCTCTTTATGTTTAGCTGTAGAGATTCTCTACTGCATGGAACCCAGTGAAAACCACGGTTATCGCACACCATTTGGGGACTTGACAAACCAGAGCAATGCAGGTAACTAATGATTCACATATGCATATGATTGCTTTGGAATGTAATAGAAATTGTGTTCATTAAGTCTTTTTGTCTTTTTACAAATTAGGTGGCCAAAGTGAATCTAATTCGCTTGCACAAGTTGCTGATCCTAAAGAACATAAGAGGCAAAGAGACAGAGCACGACGTGCAGCCATGTCGAGGAGCAGCGAAATGAAATAAATAGTAGGAAGCGATGTGCTGCAATGACTGAACACCAGCGTAATGAAATTAATAGAAAGCGTCGTGAAGCATATCATCGAAAAAAGGCTGAATCCACGCTCATTGGAGTTACCAAAGGTGGCATTGCATACACTATTATAACATGATACCTATAATGCTATTTCTTTCTGCAGCACAAATGTATAATATATGATGTGCAACTTGTTTGTAGATGGTGACATTGCATCTAATATTGAAAACATGGGAGATGCCGAAAATAATGACTGGTTACACAGGAATGATTCATATCAACCCATGCAGATTGATAAAGAGATAGGTACTATGATTTGTATATGAGGTTTGACCAGGAGTATGGTGTCGCTTCATAATTAAGAGTAATATTTTTATGTACGTGATTGCTTAGTAAATTAGCAAAAACTGAGAGCATAACTATTGCTAATACATGTATATACCATGACAGTGTTTTTGTGCCATGTTACATACATAAATGATGATTTATTATGTCATGTTTCAATAGATATATATGAAGGATTCACAAATTTTGGTGATAAATAATATGAGTATAGTTTTAAAATTGTTTCATCTACACGACTTCAAATTCGCTTAATAATTATTAGTGCAATGTATCAGGGTGGATGCAACCAGTATGTACAACAAATGATGTGGACACCTAGCACAACCACTACTCTAGACAAACCATGTGAACACAAAGAAATGAGAAGCCAATACTTTAGGGAACGATATATAAAGATGACACCAAAAGAGAGGGAGAGTAGACGTGAACAACAATGGTTGAGTTATAGGGCCCTAGGGCGAAAGGAGGCCATCATAGCAGGGCAGAGAAGATGAAAGGAGGTATGGAAGCACACTCTACACCATGAGTCCATTGCTATGGAGAATCCACTTTATGTTCCTAAAGTTGTGTGGCCCACTGCGAAAGCCTTTGGGTCTCATGGATCCACGGTGAACCCCAATGATTGGGTTATCCCAAGTCAAGCGCAACATCTCTTTATATCCCATCAAGTTTAGAGGAGACGAATGAAGACGGATGTGGTTGCTGATGTGGCAAGGTAGTTATTGAAGAGAGAGAGCAAAAATCATAGAAACCGAGTCTAAATTAGAAATCATGTCTACATGAGAACCAAGACATGAAGGGGTGTGATTGACATAGAAGGGAGAGAGAACGTATGTGATTGGATAAAAAATTGTTCTGTAGAAACTATCTATTGGGACCATAGTTTCTATATGTAGTGTCTATAAAAATTAATAGGTATAGAAACTATATGTAGTTTTTAGCATTGGGACTGCCCTAATGATGCTAAGCTTCAATACGGGGTGATTAGTTGCACGCAGGAGGCCATCCTGAGCCCCATCCCAGCACCGTTTGGTGCACTTAGCCGTGTTTGGATGCCGGCCTCGCATCCTTTCCTTGCTTCGTCTCATTCATCTCCACCCCTCCGTCCCGCATGGCTCCGTCTTCTTGATTCCCACTTCCCCCGCGATACAGGACGGCGTGATGCACCCATGGTACAAAGGCCCATATGTCATACACTCAAAACTCTCATCCATGCATGCAACCAAACAAGATCTCATCTCATACTGGACCAACAACAAAGACAACCAAACATGACTGAGTGCACGGTTTGAGCATGAATCTCACCATCCTGGACCGGCTCTCCATCCCGGCTCTCCATCACTAAAGCAACCAATCACCCCGTACATCTTTTATAAGTTCCATTGAAAGACAGTACTCCCTCCATACTAAAAAATGAAGTCATTTTGGACAGCGGCACGATCTCCAAAGCATAACTTTGACTACTTATTTTTATAAAGATATTTATCAAAAAATGATATATACAAATTTTTGTGAAAATTTTTTTTAAGACAAATTTATACATATGGTTTTCACATTTTCAAACTCAACAACTTAGACGTTATTCATGATTTATATTCCCAATGTTTGACCCAAATCTTATCCAAAACAACTTCATTTTTTAGTACGGAGGAAATACTGTGTAGTCATCCAAACATCCACAAATGGCACGAACCCTCCAAAGAGTGCAGATGTTTCCACAAGTAGGATACCGTGCAAACAATGGGAGCGCATAATAACCATTTCCAGATAAACAGCCTACGCCAACCGCAGGCACGCTTTTACTTTCCAGATATAAACAGCCTACGCCACCCGAAGACACACTTTTACTAATTATTCCTATCCAGATAAACAGACTAGGACGCCAGCAGGCATGCTTCCTCCGACGCAGTGCATAAAAAAATAACCATCAGAGCAAGAACAGCTCAACTCAGGAGAGTTGTCTATTGGCAGCAACACAAGTCAATGAATCAACGGTCATCATATGGATGGATGTATCTCCATGCGGAGTGGTAACTAGTACAACTGGACTTCATTCAACGACAAACGAATAAATAAATAACTCAGTCCTATTAGCACCAAAAGGCAATTGCAAACAAACCAAAAGAAAGATGGCCAAAACTAGGACACCAACACAGCCAACTAATCTCTGTTCGATGATTAAGTATGGTACAAAACAGGTGTCAGTCAAAAGTTACCAAAATCTATTGTGACATCAGAACATTGTAGTCCATAATCATTTGGATGCCCATATACAAAAATGCCACAACTTGTCTGCGCACATTGGGGGGCATTAGCTTACTGGTGGCGGACTGAATAGAGTGTTCAACAGAGAGAAATCATTCCCTCTTTTCTGGTTTCTGGACCTTGACATAAGGCAAAAATCCAAGAAGGTGCGTGATCCGCGGCTGCCACCCACGTTGCTGAGCCCGACAGAACATTAGGAATGTGTTTGCATAGTATGAGTTGAGGCCCATAAGCACATGCCACCATGCGTGCCCCTGCGGGTTGACGTACCAATGTGAAAGTTTCTTACAGAAGATGCGATCAACTAGCCAGCAGAGAGTCCCAAGGGTTAATGTAAGAACCCACAGCTTTGCAAGCCGCTTCGCAGCCATGTCTTTCGTCTGTATGTAGTATTTGTACATTCGGGGGATGCAGAGGAAGCAGAGGCCAATGTAATGCAGCTTGAATACAACTTGGAACCGGGCAAAGAAATGAACTACAGCAAAGGCAGCACCATAGAGGAAAAGGAAAGTTGGCATCGTGCTCCTGTAATGCCAGTCCGGTGAATAAAGGACATACATATAAAGAAGGATCTCCCAAACCATCGGAGTCTCATCACTCTGTTGTAGACTGGAAAACAGAACGTCGACAAGGCAGCATGTTACCAAAAAAGGATATGTTGCACAAAATAGAGTAAACATTATGGAAATTAACTACAAGATGACTAAACAGGTCACAGAGGTAGGAAGTTTATGAAAACATCCAACAGTGAGCAGTATGCTAAAAGTACAGTGCCCCCCCCCCCCCCCCACCCACACACAACACACGCACACGCACAAAAGGTGATGATCCAGCAAATTACAACCCTTCACCCTCCTAAAAGGCAGAGAAACCCTTGGTTTTGAGTATGGATTCTAGTCCTCGTTTCAGGCAGGCAATATAAAGTTAAACACATGCACCCCAATTCCAAATGAGTTCTCTATGCTGAGTGAAGTATATGGCAAAGGTCAAAATTAACCATTGTTACTTGTTAGTGTTTTTTTGTCATTCGATACACTCAATGATTGGTCAGGCTGAAGCTGCCAGTTCATCCATCATAAGAGATGACTAGATTACCTTAGTTTTTTTCATGAAACTGTGGATGAAGATTGATTAGAAGCAGATACAACAAAATAGAACAAAAGCAGATCTTTCAACAAATGCGGTAGACAAATGCTGAGATTTATCAATGGACATCACAACAACAACAAAGCCTTTAAGTCCCAAACAAGTTGGGGTAGGCTAGAGTTGAAACCCAGCAGAAGCAATCTATCAATGGACATCAGAACAGAGAATTTTGGGCATCACAATCACAACATATGCCAATCGTTGTGTTGGTCAGCAAGTGCATCAATATATTGCCAAAAATGGAACCATATGTGCAGTAACAGAATTGTTGTAAGCTGTGACTTTTTTTGCACAAAAATAGAAGACCAGTGCAAACGCTACATCCTGAGCCCACTGTGCAGCGCCAAATGCACGTGAAAACTGCAATGCGCGTGACAAAAAGGGAAAGATTGCACAAAAAGAGCCCAATAATGCTATGTTCCATGTCACCCAATGGCCTTCAGCTCAACACGACAAATTGCGCTAAAATATGTAGCCTTGTAGCAACAAATCTTAAATCAACAGTTCCTTGGTGGTTTTGACAGAATGCACGCAAAGTTCACCCAAGTAACAACACCCCCCCCCCCAAAAAAAGCCCGGTGCGCCCACCATATGCACGTGTATTCACCATATAAGTCACTCAAAAATTCAAGTTTAGCACCCTAGTAACTTAATATTGCTATGCCCCCACCCTCAAATGTTTTTTCCTGG